AAAGTGATGAAACACGTCTCACTCCTCGGTCGTCGATGCCCTTGACCTTAACATGATAGGGCATGAGGCATTCATTTCTTTTGTGCATGCATTTACATTGAATGGCAAACTTGGCCTCTTAGGCCATCATGCATCAAAATGCATAATTGATGGCCCGAGGGTCGAGAGCCACGCTCCCTTGAGTCTATTGCATGATAGGGAGTGTGGCCATACTCATATTTGCTTGAAAATTCTATGTCATACACTGCTTGCCCTCTACTGCTGCCAATTGCAGGATTCTGCAGGATGAAATAGCCAGCCGGCCATTTGTAGTGCCGACCGACCATCAGTGTCTAGCTGATGGTCCAAGATTTAGCTGATGAGCATATTCCCATGGCCGGTGATCTTATTCCTTGGCCGGTGGAAATCCAAAACACTCAGGAGGAAGTTCAAAGCAGTTCTGGAAACTTTCATATCTTTCAGAGGAACAAGGAGTGTAAACAGAGGCAACAGTGGCATGGTACCGAGTTTCCGGGCGCGGCCAATCGAGCATGCATCATCCCATCATTCCGAGGCAGGGCTGCGGCCACCTTCTTTTTATAATTAATTTGTTGATTAATTAGAAGTTTTGTAATTAATTAATTAGTTAGTCAGCTAGTTAATTAGTTAAATCTGTATTATTTATTCGGACCCTCCGAGTGAGGGCAATTGTGTATTAAGTGTGCCTTGCATGCACCGGGCTCGGCGCATCATACTAACTGTATTGTATTTCAATTCCAAGTTGAATACGTGTTAGCTGTAGCATCATCACATGCCATCTTAGAATAACCGAGCCCATTGTAGCTGCATCTTGCATGCGTTGCATTAGCCATATTAACATGATCTAGGATCATGCATATGATTACTAACTAGTTTTTGTTTTGGCTTGGAGTACTCAGTAAGCATTTATGTTTTAGCATCCTTGCATGAGTGTGAGTGTTGCCATGATAACATGCTTGCCATGAGGCTATGTGCTTACGTGTTATAACTGCCTGAATGCCTGTGAGTGAAGGTTGGGTTACTTAAATTGGAACAATGCATTGAATGCGAGTCTTAAGCCCCCCCCTCTCGAGAGTGGCAAAATCATGTTTTTCTAAGCCCACTCGAGGGTGGCAAAGTCTGTCTTTTAGCCTACTTGCGAGTAGCAAACTGTTTTCAAAACAAACATGAAATGTTTTGTTCCAATTTAGGCGACTTAGTCTATACTTGTTTGCTGTGCGCATCACATAGTAAATCTAGGCTAATAACCGGAATAAGAACGCATAATGTTTTCAAAACTAGATATCATGGTTAGTAGAGGCCGATCTTCGAATCGGGCGAGCGGGGGTGCTCATAGCTGACATTTCCTAATCGTACTCAAGTTCCCGAACCGAGGCAACTTTGGTGATAGTGGACACGTGGCCTTAGGCAAACAAGTCAGGGTTTCCTAAATTTCCGTCATAAAAAATATTTACGTGGCGACTCTGCATCTGGCAAAGCAGTCCATGTTTGGCACTTCTTTACAAAAATCTATTTTCACAAACGATTTGCCGAATTTGGACTCTTTGGTTCAAATTTAGAACCGTGACAATTTGAGTCCGAACTGTAGTGACCCACAAACGAACAGAACGGGACTCATCCTCCCGGGACGTTCGGGGACGTCTACAGCAGCGTACACCGTCACGTTAACAATGTAGGCACAGTGTAGTGACAGCCTAGTCCCACAACTGGTAAAGGACAATTTTACCCCTTTAGATCAATTTTGAAAAAGTGAGGTTAGTGGCAAATTTGTTATTTTAGCTTCAAATATTATTTCAAACACATTTTTCAATATAACAACTCGAATTAAAATTCATCCCATCTTTCCGAACACAAAAACTAAAATAATCTACTAAAATAATTAGAAAGCCAAAAAATCTTAAAAATAACCACTTCCCTAACACTTACAAAGTTTATTTGCACCTGAATCTTAAACAAAAGATTTTTGAATGTTTGGACCAAAAGCCCTTTAAAATATTGTGAAATATTTCCCATCATTTTAGGTTCTGGAAAGAAAAATGCTTGGAAGCATTAAAAAATGATCATTAGAGGGAGCACTAATGATGTGGCAGTGGGTTCCGCCCACTTTCTATGCCTTATTTTTATTTATTTATTTATTTTTTGTCATTTCCAATATATTAGTACTATTAGTGATATATTTTTTAATGATCTAAATCATTGTTGTTCTGAAAATTATACTATTGCCAATTGTCTTTCCTTCGATCCACTTATCTTTTGTCTGAATTAGTCTTTTTTTTAAGTTTTTTTCTTCTTTCTTAACGACTTGAAATACACTTTAAAATTCATTACTTTTGTTCAACTCACTAAAATTTTTTTTGGATTCATAAATAAGAAAGCAATTAAAAATATGAAAAGCATATATCAAATTGATTAATAACTCAATAATAATTAAAACGTCAAAAATTATCAAGCCTAAACCCAACAATTACTATTAATCACATACCTATAACAATCATTAAACTCAAACCTAACAACCACCATGACAGAAGATAAATTTAACACGCCTAAGCCCAACAATTACTATTAATTCCATATCTTTGACAATCATTAAACTCAAACTTAACAACCACTATAAAAGGAGATGCAGTAATGTTAAAGACCCTAAAAATTTTATTAAAGTTTTTATCAAATGTCTCACATGGTGTAGGACCCACACAAGGGCCCCACACCTATGCGAGACATTTAATAAAACTTTTAGTAGAATTTTTAAGATTTTTAGCATTTTTGTACAAGGTAAATTTAACAAGACATAAGATTCAAACTCCTCTAGAATTCACAACTTCACACCATAAAATGGTACTGTACAATTATTGGAATTGGAATCATTGTTGTGCTAAAGACACATCAGTGACTGTTGTACCTCAATTTAAAGTGCATTATAAGATTATTTTTATAATCTAAACCGTTCATTTTGTAGGGTTTGTTGAGTACTTTATGCTACCGAAAATCATATTAATCGGATATCAATAACTATATGATCGATAATCAAGAAAATAAACAATATGTTTTTCTTTTGAGAAATAGTATAAAAAATATGTAATTCAATCATATTGTTAGTGATATATGATTAATATAATTTTTGATAGGCATGAAGTACTTAACAAACCCTACAAAATGTACCGTTCAGATCATAAAAATAAGCCCATAATACATTTCAAATTGAAGCACAACAATTACTATTGTGCCTTTAACACATCAGTAATCCCATTTCTACAATTATCAGACCAAATGTCTTGATTAACTCGCTAAGCTTACACGTTCTATGAAATTAAATTATGTGAGCTTAGTTCATGATTAGTTTAATTAGATTTCTTTTGAGATTAATTCAATTAAAATTGATTTGAGATAAACCCGAAAGACAAATAAACCAAGCTTTAATAACTCACTAATTGACCCAAATCGACTTGTCTACAATTAGCATAGACTAAACAGTTTGGGAGGCCATAAATATCAATGTATATCACTAATTAGTCTAACTTAGTGCGCAGAACTTTTACTGTAAATTGTAGATATATATATTAAAAAAAAAAAAAAAAAAAAAACTATACGTGGACGAGATAGGATTTACATCTAAGATGAATTTGTACCACACATTACGGTTTCGTTTGATTTACGTTTGAAATTGTGATTCTAATAAAAAAATTAATTTTTTTAAAAAATTCATAATCAAATTCTTTTCAGAATTCTATTTTTAAAAAAAAATTTAAAAAAAATTATTTTGTTTTTTAAAATTATTTTTGAAATTATGAGTTGAGTATGAAATTGTATTTTGAGTTATGAGTTTTGAAAAAAGTTTTAAGCCTCTGTTTGGCAAGATGGTTTTCAGGTTTTTTTGACTATTTTAGCCACAAAAAACAAAATAGGCTATTTTAGCCATAACAAACAAAACATCACATCCAACCTATAATCATTACATTCTTCTCTCACAAAAAAAGTCAAAAAAGCCAAAAAGCCAAAAAACCCTTCCCAAACCAAGGATAAATGAAGTAGAAGAAATATAGGGAAAATAGGAGGAAACAGTTTTAACTTCAACTTCAATTCATTTTCTCTTTACCTTTTTCCTTGTACAAATTAAAAATTCAAATGAAGTCTTGGTATTGATTTTGGGTTTATAATTTAAAAAAATTTGGATCGCCATATATGTTTAAATTATAATAAATCATTTTGCCTATACTTAAAAAAATAAAAAATGTTATTTTTCTAAAAAATAAAAAAATATTTTTTTCAAAAAAATATAAAATAAAAAATAATTTTAAAGAACGAATTAAAAAATATTTTTTGAATTTTTTGTTTAATAAAATTTTGAAAGGAGTTTTAAAAATAGTTTGATTATGTGTTTTGAAAAGAATTTTTGAATTGAGTTTTGAGTTATATACTTAGTTATGAGTTTTGAAAATAATTTTTGAATTGAATTTTGAGTTATGTATTTAGTTATGATTTGAGTGTGGAGTTATGTTTTGAGTTTAAAATATTGAAAAAATATATTTAAAAAATAAAATAAAATATTTAATGTTACAAAAATTAAAAATTATTTAAAATAAAAATTATATATTTAAAAGAAAAAAATAATTTTTCTTAAACATTTTTAAATATTTAAAAAAAATTAAATCCAAAAAATTTTAAAATACAACTTAAAATTCAAAAACTCAAAACTCAAAATATAACTCAAAACTCTTTTTCAAAATTCAAAATTTAAAAACTCAAAACATTTTTCAAAAGTCACAATGAAACAAACTTTTTCTTTTCAAAACTCAACTAACAACTATAAATTCAAATCATGATTTTAAAATTAAACCAAATGAAGTTTATATTTTTTTTAAATATTTTTTTAGAATAAAATTCTGGGCATGATTGTCGTTAATCTAATGGTTAGAGTGGTCCAGAATAGAGATGCAATCCTTTTGTTTTGTCTTTTTCCATTTTCTCTCTTACAGCTAAACCATGATGCACCATGTACCAACCATCTAACTGAAACTCCAAAACGATAAGGATTCACATAGAAACTTCTAAAATGAGCTGCTCATTGAGCTTCCAAATTCCCAAAGCTCTGCCTTCTCTCTGCCAATCCCACTGTAAAGTCCCTTCTGTCTCCATTCACTCTAAACAAAAACAATCCCACAATCCCAAACCAAACAAGGTATATCTCTATGCTATATGCATACATTTCTTTACTTTACAGATTTGCATCATTTTCTCTACAATTCAATTTTAAAAGCCCTGTGATTTTCATGAACTCTGCACAACCAGGAACCAACAACTATTACCGGAAAACTCATCAGCTACTTTAATCCTAAAAAATCTTGTTTGGCAATCCAAGTTGGAGCACTTTTGAGCTCTGTAAGTCTGCAAGAATCTTTTGTTTTACAAGTCTTTTATCATTCGTTATTTTTTTTTTAATTTTAAATTTAAATGAAATTGATTTGAACAGGTTGTGCAATTACCAGCATATGCAGTCACTGGAGTAAATGATGAAGAAGACATCATATGGGTATTGATACAGTTAGCCATTTCAGCCTTCTTCTACTTTCTTGTCGCCCCGGTGAGTGAAAAGTTTCTCAATCTATACAAAATTCTTCAACCTGTATAGAAACCACACAACCCTCTTGCATGGGTGTCTGGGACATACTTCATGTGAGAGGGTTATGTCCGGTTTTGTAATCCATTTCTGTATTCATAGATTTTTTTCATCTATATATATTATGTTGTGTTTTTATCATCTGCTCTTGAATGGTGAATGTTGGGTGAAAATAATTAATGATAATAATTTTTTTTTTTTTCGGGGGGTTGGGTTTGAATGCAGCCCATTATAATGAACTGGCTGAGGATCAGATGGTACAAGAGAAATCTGTTGGAGATGTATTTTCAGTTCATGTTTGTCTTCTTGTTCTTTCCAGGGTGAGTGCCTCCTCTTCCTTCCTTCCTCCTAAAGTTCAGCAATAGTTTGGTTAATTTGATGTCTACATTTTATTCAATTTGAGCAAAAATAAATTTTTCTAAGTTGCAAATATAGCTCATTGAACCCGCAAGAGTACCCCAGCGGTTAAAGGGTTAAATTTTGAGATAAGTCATAATTTTAGACATTTTAAGTTCGATTCAGGTTGATGTTTCTTGACTTTATTTCAAGTCTCTGATTTTTTAAGTAATTATAGATATCCAAAGAGATAGCTCTAAGGGTCAGTTTGCTTAGGTTATAAGGGATGAAATTGGATTACGATCGATGTGAGATCTACTAATATTGTGCTCGTTTACAAAATGGGGAACGAGATTTATAATACCTTAGGACTATGATAGGGCTTCATGGATGGGATTAGTTGTCCTCATGGGAGATGGTATTAAAAAAACAATGTCTTGGGATTAGAGAAATATTTACTATTTTGCCCCATATTATCTTACCTAATTTACTTTTTTTCCATCATTTTTTTATTTAAATTATTCCACCACCATTCTTTATATCAAAATAATTTAATATAAAAATATAATAGTATAATAATATTTATACCAAAAAATTTTATTAAAAAAATAAAATAGTATCAAATATATATAGATAATTGGATATCTGGACCAACTTGAACGTAACTTAACTAATTCCAGAATCCTGAAATTAATAATCAGTTGTCCTCATGGGAGATGGTATTAAAAAAACAATGTCTTGGGATTAGAGAAATATTTACTATTTTGCCCCATATTATCTTACCTAATTTACTTTTTTTCTATCATTTTTTTATTTAAATTATTCTACCGTTTTTCACTCCACCATTCTTCATATCAAAATAATTTAATATAAAAACATAATAGTATAATAATATTTATACCAAAAAATTTTATTAAAAAAATAAAATAGTATCAAATATATATAGATAATTGGATATCCAGACCAACTTGAACGTAACTTCACTAATTCCAGAATCCTGAAATTAATAATCGGTCAAATCTCCAGTAGCTCATTGGGATGATGTTGAACTTGATTTTCCAATCTTATTCTCAATATATTACATTGCATTAATCAATGAACCCATAAAGGGATAGGCCAGGACAAGTAGGATAAATTAGGGTCGTATTTAATTCAAATTAGGATTTTGGGGGTAGAATTGGAGTTGGCTATTGCTAACCCCTTCTTGTGGTAGAATGATTAACACTAAAATTCTCCTAGATCCAAGAGGAGTGAAGTCCTAAAATTATACCTGTACTTTCTATAATTTGCCTTTTAAGTTTATGTCTAATTATATCAATTTTATCATTGCATTTTTCATGTGTTAATTTAACCTAAGTGATAAAACTTTTTTAATACTTGGACTGAAATCAAAAGGTAAAATAGTTTACTTACTCTCCTCAAAATGATTGAAGGGTTAGTATCCAATTTAAAACAGTCCATTCCCTTTTGAATGGAGTATTTTATTCTTAAATATATTTAATTTGTTAATGAATGTTATTAATTTGACTAAATTAACACAGTGTGAAAAATTAAAATTGATACAATTTAAATTATAAGGATTAAATTGAGACAATAAACAAATAACGAGAACCGTGATTATTTGACCAAAAATATATTTTAAAATTAAGGGGACGACATATCATAATGACTTTGAAGTTTGGGGAGTGTCTGAAAAAAATCAGAGAAATAATTTAATTTCAGATTTCACACCTCTTAGTTTAAATGGGGAAAGAATACAGATCCAGACCAACTTCAACGAGTTTAAATTAACAATAATAAAGATACGTGTATAAAAAAAATACTAAAAACAAGAACGAATAATTTAGATTCAACCTATGTATTATAAGGTTACATTTACAATGAATCTTGACTACACAATTAAATTTGTTTTGAACGATTAACATTGTGGAGAAAAAACAACATTTCATTTTTTTTCTTCCCTTTTAACCAAAAACAGTATACTTCTTAATGATTTAACTACTTTGACTGGATTATGTTGGAACAAAGGGTCTTGAATTCTTCAAACTATGGTTTTCGGATCTTCAAAATTTGGCAATGGTCTTATCTATATAGAATAGAAAATTAGTGCTTCAAGTCGCGTTACTAAGTCGCTTTCCTAAAAATAATATTTGTATCTACCAAAAGGTGTGCAGGGGGTTATAACAAATTTACCTCCAGGATACAATGAAGCCTGATCTAAAGATCTAGTCTATCAGCGTCTGCACTAACGACAATAGATCAGAATACTCTTGATATAATCAAGAAAACCAAGACACTGATAATCAAATCTACAGAACTTGATTATCAATAAGAAAAACATAAATTTGCTTAAGAAACTCTTGATCGAAAATTCAAAATCAAGAGGGAGAGAGAGAGAGAGAATTGCAGAGGAATGTTTTTAGGATTTTGGATGATATGAAATGGCTGATTTTGTAGCCTATTGATAGGCCTTGATGGATCTGATCGAATGGTCATGTCCCTTGATCGCATCCGATCAGATCTGACCGTTGGGTTCACGATCGAGTGCCATCTCATCTGTACGATTGCGCACATCACCAATCAACGGCTATGATCAACCCGCTCTAGATCGGACACACAACCGTTTGATCGGTTGGTTGACTCATCATCAACGGACGACACATCACTGCCACGTGGAGCTGACTATATTCCACGTCACCCATGCCACGTTGGATCCATGTCTTCGTTCCAGCATGTCCGATGCAAATAGGAAAGAGCCCTCATGGCGTCGATGCATCCGTGCTAAGTGCAAAGTGTGCCATCAAACGCCATCAAACGCCACACAGCCCACTGCCTACGCCACGCACGCGCGCGAGTGTGCTGGTGCATGTGCGGATGGTGCGAAGCACCATTCTTGCGGTGTGGGTGCCTGCACACTAGCTTTCATCCCACAATTCCATATTCAAAGGAATATTTCATGTAACACTTTATTAAGTGTTTTATGTTTTTCTCTCTTTCTGATGTGGGACAAAGTCCCCAAACTTAATTAATGCTTTCTAAAGAAAAACAATGAAGGTTTTGAAAACACCCAAAAAACTAAACTATAAATTTTAAAAATCATTTTGAAAATTTCCCAACATTCCCCCACCATTTTCAAAATACCAGATGATGACTCTTGGTTCACTTGGCAGCCTTATGTATAGGTGAAGATATCTTACAATTTGAATCATTCACTTAGTGAGGACATCTCAACGTTAGACAAGATGGCATAGTAGACTTGTCTTTGAACTAGCGATCTTATATGACTAACCAGACATATCTCATGCACAGTACAGGTTACCTAAAGTATTCAAACAAGTCGACACGTGGATTGGCCTTGTGTTTATGTCCTGTTTCATGAGCGCTCTAGAGTCAAGCCCTTGGACTCATAGGAAGTGGCACCACCTCCTACACTCACATAGGTAAGATTACTGAGAGTACCCATGTAATTTACAGTACCCTAACAACCCAGTTGTAAGCTTATTAAGAGTTTGCTAACTCATCATCTTCTTTTCACATTACATATACCAAGTACTTCAACCTTGGAATGAAAATGAAATAAAACTAAGTGCTTACAATCACGACATATGGTATACTTGGGCTCATTGAACTCAAGACTTGATGTTTCTTCAAGGGTTGAGTCGAGTTTCCACCAGGAGTGATTATGTTAACTGGGCTTAAGACCTATCCCCTTTGATATTTTCCACACCAAATCCCTTGCAAATCCCTTTGTTAAGGGGTCAGCCAAGTTTTCACTTGATTTTACATAATTAATGGTAATCACACCTTCTGTGATTAACCGCCTAACACAGCTATGTCTTAGTCCTATATGCCTGGACTTTCCATTATAGACATGGCTATAAGCCCGTGATAGAGTTGCTTCACTATCACAATGCAAAGATATTGGTGGCATAGGTTTTGGCCATATCTTAATCTCTAACAAGAGATTCCTTAGCCACTCTGCCTCTTTCCTACAAGAAGCCAATGCTACAAACTCTGACGCCATGGTTGAGTCTATTATGCATGTTTGCTGCTTAGATCCCCAGGAGATAGCTCCTCCTCCAAGAGTAAAAATCCAACCACTCGTGGACGAGTGATCTTCACGGTCAGTTATCCAACTAGCATTCGTGAATCCTTCCAGTACTGCTGGATAGCCATTATAGACTATTCCATAGTCTATTGTTTTCCTCAAGTACCTAAGTACTTGGTTAACAGCATGCCAATGCACATTACTGGGATTACTAGTGTATCTACTAATTTTTCTGACTGCAAAAGCAATATCAGGTCTAGTGCAAGTCATGGCATACATCAGACTACCTATTACTCTTGAGTATTCTAGCTGATCAATAACTCTTCCAGTATTAGGATACAATTTCAAAGTTGAATCAAAAGGTGTAGACATGGTTGTACAATTATATTGATTAAATTTCTTAAGAATTTTCTCAATATAGTGCGACTGGGTTAGAATCAAATTATTGTCCTCTCGTTTGATCTTAATACCCAGAATTACATCAGCCAAGCCCATGTCTTTCATACTAAAGCTAGACGACAAGAAACTTTTAGTACTTTCAATGACATCATTGTCAGTACCAAAAATAAGCATGTCATTTACATATAGGCATATGATTACACCGCTATTTCCAATAAACTTATTGTACACACACTTATCAGATTCATTTATCCTAAAACCATTTGACACTATTACTTTGTCAAATTTCTCATGCCGCTATTTTGGAGCTTGTTTCAGTCCATATAGTGACTTCACGAGTTTACACACTTTGTGTTCTTGACCCTATACAACAAATCCTTCCGGTTGTTGCATATAGATTTCCTCATCTAACTCTCCATTTAGAAAAGCAGTCTTAACATCCATTTGATGGATTTCAAGCTTATAGATTGAGGCTAAGGCAATTAACACTCGAATGGTGGCGATTCTAGCCACCAGAGCATATGTGTCAAAACAATC